CACACACACACACACCCACACACACACACACTGACTCGGCTCTGCTGGGTTACATAATGGTGGCCTACTAAAGCAGCGCGGCACGTGACCTGCGTGAGATGATGTTGAACTCTGCTGAGGGTGAGGCCATCCTCCTTCCATCTCTCTCTCTCTTTCTTCTCACACACACACACACACCCCTCCCCCGACTCAGGCTGACATCACTGCAGGCCTCGGGGCTGCTCTCATCAGCTGGTTGCTAGGCAACCCTTTTCGTCCACAGGCACAACCAACGCACATTTAATCTGGGCGGCTGAAACAGAAGGATGAAATATACGAAGACCGAACAAAAAAAATCAACCTCACAAAATCCAAAAGAAGAGAATCAGATGTTTCCACTGGTGAGGAGCATGATATCAGAGGTGTGTGTGTGTGTGTGTGTGTGTGTGTGTGTGTGTGTGTGTGTGAATCTAGGCCATCTTGTGTTTCCCTGCTTCCATCTGTCTGACGCACACACAGACAGCGCCACCTTTCCCCTCCTCAGGCCTCATCGTATGACACGGCGCCCCCTATCTGCTCGTCTCTCGTTGAATTCAACATTTGAAAACCCTCAGGAGCAAAAACACAAAAACCTCCTGTGCGGGCGGATAATCTCCGACCCTGGCGGCACACGAGAGAAAGGGTTTAAACTCTGTCTGACACGAGAAACACACACAATGAAAAACCAGATTACAAGCGAGCGGGACGTTCAGCGTCGGATTAATTCAATTCTATTTTATTTGTATTTCACCGAATCACAACGTAAATAATCTGATGGAAGTTTACACGGTGAAGTGGAGACCTGAGACTCTGCAGGACTGATCACATCAGAGCATCTGAGACAACACTTTCTACAGATGTGTGTGTGATGAGTCTCAGCTGTTTGTGAGCAGATGTACAAGTTAATTCAAACCTAAATTCATTTTATTCTCTGTTTGGACTTTCTGTCGTCACTTCATTTGTCTCCAGCAAACCAGATGTTCACTCCAGAAGCCAGATGCTGAAAGAGAGTGAACGTCTCTGTCTGGCCCAGAGTCTTAACTGCAGTGATAATGGAGCTGGAATTAAATTCACAATTTAATTTAGCACAATGACGATAATGTTGACGGAATAATAAATAGATCTCAACAGTTTGGTTCCTGAAGTTAAAAATCCCATCATTCATTTTCTGAACAGACCATAATATTTTAACCATCCGAGGTAGAGTCAGCACGAGACTGTGACCCGATGTTATGTTCTCCCGTAGAAGCCACAAGTCCGTATGACATCAGCTGTGATTTCAGAAAAACATGTTTTATTCACGATGTCACGGAGAAGAACTACACTACCCAGAATCCTCATGTGTGGTAGGGACGTCTCTGTATTATACACGATATGAACACTACATCCAAACACACGAACTACGATATATCAACAAGGAGGTTCAATTCATGAAGCAGCTGGAGGTCGTTGGAAAGGATCATTCACAATGGATTATGGGATGTGTAGTTCCTGCACTCTTTAAATAAGTCTACGTCCTGCTCAGAATCAAATGTTTTAAGATCTCGATTCAATCTCGTCAGGATGAAAACGTTTTTATGAGGATTTTCTGAAACTTCCGTGGAGACATTTACTGAAAGTGGGAGCTCACTCTTTATTTGTCAAAGAAAAGTGTTTAGATTTCTTCACTTTCTTTCTAAAAAATCACTCCAGGCTCGAAGTTTCACCAAAAGATTAAGGCTCCATTCATGATAAAAATGAGTTGTGGCCGACGGTGGAACAACTGGACTGCTCTCTGGTTTGTAGCTTCAGTATTGAACGTACGTTATTAAATGTGTATCTGTGAATACGACCAGGTAGAGAATATATATTGTACATCCTTATTGCTTTGTTTCATTTGATTATTCAGGATTTGTACAGGCAGAGATCTGTTCAGTGTTTGAACACTGCAGGTCCTGAGAGACCTTGCACCTGAGGACACACCATGTTCCTGTTAATATGACTCACAGGTTCATGAGCTACAGGACGCAAAGACAAACGTACTTTATTCACCGTTCTTTTGTTAAAGATCTTCGTTCCTCTGAATCAGTAAAGATCTGAACACGTGTCACAGCGAGTGCAGTTTTAATTCAGGGTAATATTCAGTATCCTCTTGAAATCAGCTCCAATATTTACTAGTTCCTAACTTTATGCAACAAATGGCTCGAGAGTCATGTAGCATCTCAGCGCTACACGAAAAATAAAAACTGGGAACGTGTCCTTGGCATGACGGCAGCTGAAGGAACCTACCTGTGAATACGGGAGACACAGAGGAGCATGAAGAAAGAAGAGGTGAAGGAACGACAGGAGACTGGAGAGAATGGAGATGAAGATGAAGAGGCGTGAGCTGAAAATGAGATGAGGTGTAAAAGGTCAACAGACATGACTTTGAACCGTAAAAGGATGAAGATTAGGATAATATGATCGTATGTGGCGTGAAGCGTGAAGGAGGGAACACGAGAGCGGACCTGAGCGGCTGGAATTACCAAAAATGGACGTCACTGTTTTGATCTAACGTTTCTTATTAGATCAGAAGCGTCCAGAGGAACCGACGCCATCCCTCGGCTCTCTCTGATGAGCGATGGGACCGTTCATATAAAATGCATGAGAGCTGTGAATTATTTATCGTGCTTTTTTTTCCCCGCTCATACATGAGCCGAGCTAGTTCAGGTGCGGCGTCCATCACCGTGTTGTCCCAGTTACTGCAGGTTTGATAGAAATCAATCTTTCTCTCCCATATGAAACCATTCCTTAAATCCTACCTACAAAATGTAAACAGCGCTCACTTTCTTATTTATTGCCTCGGTGACTTTTTTCATTCGGGATCGGTCCTTTGTGCTTCCAGCCAAGTAAACATTCAGTTCACTCCCTGACACACAGACCTCATAAACTGCTGCTACAACAAAGTCAAAGCTTGTCTCAAAATCCTCCTCTACTGCCGTTGCCAAACACTCATCAGCAGTGTTGAGTTAAATCCTGAGCAGCTAGCGGTTAGAACATAGAACCAATCTCAGAGTTCCACTGTCAATCAAAGACTGTGTCGCTGTCAGGGCAGTTCAAACCCAGCACGACATTTAAGCAGCCTCTCGCTAACAATTCAGACCAGAGCGATAACAAAATGAGTGTTAGAGCTCAGGCTGAAACTTGGGGAAATAAAAACCAAGCTACCCACAAGACTTGATACATCAAGGAGTGAACCCCAACCCCTGGTGCTTGTACCTGCCAATCAATAAGCAGTCAAGTGCTTGATACCACCGCTGTGCTAACTCTGAGGACACACCAGACAAAAAGAAAATACTGCATCAGCATGAACTAGAAGAGTTGAGGTTTTCCTCTGCCTGTAAATTAAGTAATGTTCTTACTCATAGAAATGAACCATTCAAATAAATGAAAAGTAAAGAAGAGGGAAGTATTTGAAGGACAGTGTTGGTGCGGGTCAATGAAAACATTTCACTGGAAATACAGACGGACTTATCACGCACCTTGTTCCAAAGGCCCCCCTGGTCCCAGTGGGGGAGTCGAGGCTTTCTCCTGGCTTGGGCGGCCTGTCGCGATTCATTTGCTGCAGAATGGAGCTCAGCTCAGTGATGACGGTGTTCTTGGTGTCTGGTGTGGATGGGGGGCTGCACAGCTCTGGGGGCTGATCGCCCCACAGCTTGGATGTCCTTTGAGTGGGTGTCCTAGGAGGTTCAGAGGATGAAGGGGGAGGGGGAGGGGCCTGAGGCGGAGACCCATAGGACTCTGGGGGCTCTTCAATGAGAGCATCATGATAAAGTGATGTCCTGTTGATGACAGACTTGCCCTTGGGTTTGGGGGGCACAGGGGGCCGATCCACCAGGAAGGCATGTCCGTCTGCAGTGGCATAGAGGCTCTCCAGAGCGCTGTCGCAGAAGCCTCCCTCTGACGACAGGGTGGAGATGCTGGAAACGGTGCTGGTGGTCTCCATGTGCTGAGGATCCCCGCTACTGCGGCTGTCTACCTCTTCGATGCCCGAGTCACCCACCCCCGACTCTTGGTCCGGTGGAGGAGGAGGATATGAGGGGGGCATGCTGTTCGCCACCCGTTTGTGTTGATCAATGACAGGTGGAGGGGCGTGAGGATGATAGGGGGGTAATGGAGGTCCCCCATTCCGTCTCTGTTGCTGAAGCATCTCTGCGATGGCACTAGCCTGGTCATCAGGAATGTCAATACTGTTGGCAAACTCCAGTGGTGGGGGGAGGGGCTCTGTGAATTCAAAGTCTTCATCAATATCAACTGAGGCCAGGGGGGGAGGTGGGATTCGAAATGGCAGCTTTACTGGTTCATCCAAGGATTCACCCAATGGAACGCTCCTCCTCCGTGATGAGGGTGGCTGGGGATTGGAGAGTGTCGGAGGGTTGTGTGGATCTGGTTGGTTGGGGTCCTTCAGCTCAGATGGCCTGTTGCTGTCCTGCCCCTCCACATCTTGGTTGTTAACCTTGGAGCTTGCTTCTGTGCTGGTGTGGACCATCAAGAGCCCTGCTGACTTGGGCTGTGACGTGTCCGCCACATCGGCTGGTGCACTTTTCCTCTCCTCGGCGGCCTGATGCTGCCTCTCTTCCCGTGCCCCATCTGACTCATACTTTTGCTCTGTCATCTGTCTCCGCAGGCCACCTCGGCCAGGACGTCCCATGGTTGCCGTGGAGATTGCAGCAAAGCTTGTCTCTATGCCAGAGCGCAGTTTGGTGTCAATAAAGAGAGGTTGGTTGAGGTCTGGTTTGTGGCTTGGCTGGATTGGAAGGGACTGGGCTTCGTGCTTGGGGGTTTGAACCTGAGGAGGATTTGGAGGCTGACTCTGAGGATGGTTTTGTTGCTCCTTCATGGCCCGGTCACGAGCTGCCAGGGCCAGAGCAAGTGGAGAATTAGGGTCCAAGGGCTTGCCGGTGACAGGGTGGAGGTAGGTTCCATTGGCCCTGTAGTGGCTCTTAGGAGGAGTGGCTGGGAGACTAACAGGACTGTCCAAGTTGGGACACTGGCCAGTTCTGGTGTTCAGCGGCTCCCGCACAACTGTTGGCTCAGGAGTATTAAAATCTGTCATGTTGCCACTACCACCCCCTACAGGGGGCCCAAGCCGTGCTATGGGAGGGGCCAATATCCTTCTAAGCCGCTCGTCGCTACTAAACATGCCCTCATCGATGGACTTTGACTGGCGAAGGCGAGGGGTTGGTGTTGGACCACTCAAATCATCATCCCCAATGTCTATCGACTGGAAGGCAATTGAGTTCTTTCTTGCCTCAAGCCTCTTCTCTCGGTCACGTACTGCCCCAGCAATAGCTGCAGCAAAGGGGTTACTTAGAGACAGTGGGTCGTCAGGACGGAGACCTCCACTTCCACCAACAGTAGATGTGAGAGGCGGGTGTTCAGGGGTGGTGGGCTCAATCTCCATACTGCTACCCTGGCTGCTCTTGCCACTGCTGCTGGTGGAGGGCTCCTTGATAATGATTGTGGGGATGGGGATGGATGAGCATGTTCGTTCTACAGGCGTAGTAGGCATGGAGACCGGGCCTGAGGGGCTTGCTGACATGTGACACGTCTTCTCAGGACTGTCCTCAACATTGGACTGCTTTACGAGCATGCCCTTCCTTCGAGCTGGTTTTGCTGGCACATACAGTGTCTTATTGCCCACCTCGGAGTAAGGGTTCTCTGGCACTGGTGCGCGCCCTCGTAAACGTGTGCTCTCAAACTGCTCTGAGCTCTGGCGGTAATAGCCACGCCTCAACGTACCAACGCCGGCTCTGCTTATGGTCGTCACTGCATTGGGTGAGTTCTGGGTGAAGCTGGGCCGTGTCGTGCCATAGCCTTTGGATGTAGGCCCAGCAGCCGAGTTGTATCCAGGTGGAGAAGGGGGTGAAATGGCTGGAGGAGGAGGGATGTCCTCTGAGGTGTCAGGCATAGAGAGGCTGCGGGCGAACTTTAGTAGCGGAGGTGTGAGGAATCCTTGTTTGTCATCCTCCTCTGTACCTTGAAGAAACGAGGCAGAAAGAAAAATGATGTGAGGACCTGGGGGAGACGTCCCTATTTTTTATTTGCAGCATGGTCTGCTCATTCTACAGGAAACGACTCATTTATTGATGTGAGCTCTTCCTTAACCTTTATTTATCTCAACAGGGGGTTCCTGAAATTTGTCAGAGGCCCGGACGATGAGAAAAGTACTAAGATAAAAGATGTTTGCTGCAGCAAGGGGGAATTTCCTGGTGAGTTTATCTGAGCAGTTACTTCACCAACTGAACGGAAACAAGGACAAGAATAAACATTTATGTTGAAAGTGTCAGTTTGAACCAGAGTAGCCATGGAATGGTTCTAGACGCTGTGCACATTACACAGGACCATGCTTTCACAATTAACTTTATTTTAATTGAAAAAAACTAAATGGCTTGAATAGATTCAGTGAAATTATTTTTATTAAAGATGGCTGACAGCGTACAATCTCTGAGGGACAATATTTAATATGAAAGACACCAGTTCCCTCAGCTGCTCGTCAAACCAACACACGGCAAATGTGCTTTCAACACAATCATTGGGACGAAAAAAAAACGTTTTTGTTACAATAACGATGGTTTTGCAAATCGAAATGACCGCGAGTAATATTATCCTGCATGACATCCCTCCAGTGCAGCACTGAGAATGAGGGTTCAGCATCTGCTTAATGACCTGAAATATAATCGCCTGAAAGCAGTTTGCTGACTGGATCCTTCTAATTCATCTATAATTAGCTTCAATATTGCAAGAGAAAGTCCACAGAGCATTAATAGAATATTACAACAAGCCAAGAGCACAAGGTGCTGGACATGCAGTTGTGCACTGACACACAAACACACACACACACACACACACACACACACACACACACACACACACACACACACACTTAATGAATACACATCATACCTATTGACTTCTGCTTTTTGATGGTGCCCTTCTCCGGTAACCCCAGGAAGGCTCCAGGCACAGTGGGTGGCACCACTGCTACTCCCTGGCGGTCATGATACATGGACTGAAAACCAGAGCGTTGTTCATGAAGTATCCAGACATACACACTTTTCATTAGCTCTCTGCTGACACATACACAACATCCAAACAAGGACACAACCAGATCTGAAACAATCTGAACCTAAAAGTATAACGGTGAATCATCTGCATACAAAATAATCAGATTCTTTTTTACGCTGGTTGTGTAAGTGTAACGTCCGTGCTTGTGTGTGTTTCTCAACGTTAGGTGAGTTTAGCTCCGTTCACTTACATTCATATCAGTGGGCGTAACCAGGCAGCGACTGGAGGGGCGTGGTTTGATCGTGGCGATCTTCATATCAACAGGTGACGTCTTCTGGGCGTGAGTCATCTCTTCAACTTTGTCTGCAAGACAAATTGACCCGAAATCCGTGAGCAACACAAACTAAGGTGTGCATGTGTATGTGAAGGTGGTGGGGAGGGGGGGGTGAACTTGCAAAAAGCCTTAGTAAAAGTTCTCATGGGCCAAACGCAAGCTAATCATTCACTGTGACGCCTCCTTGTGTTTCCACACTGAATTGCAATGAAACTGAAACTGAAAAACATTGAAAGACATTTTGAAGGGGGGGGGGGGTGCAGACGGAGGGTGAAATGCGTCGGGTGTGCGTTCAGCCTCGGAAGCCGTGCAAGCTCTTTCCAAACAGCCGACTCAGCAGCATCATCCGACTCTCAGGGTCGGTCCCTCGTCAAATGTAAAAATGAGACATGAAGGTGGAGTCCGTCAAGTTTGCCGTTTTCTGTCCCACGTCTTTTTTATTTTTTATTTTACCTGCGATGTGGGGGAAGGCGCCAACGGCAAACTTGGCAGAACTGAACTTGCCTCTGGTGTGAGATGATGCCGTCAGACAGAGTCCCCCTCAGAGGAGCTACATGCTGGCCCTGATCTAACCCCTCACTGTCATCACCTCCCTGGCTACCAGCTCTGTCTGCGCCGCACAAAGCTCCATGCATTAAGGCAGTGATTACTTAGAGTGACTTGGAAAACAATCCTCTTCTTCTGCGCATCTACACACAGAGGAGAGGAGTGGGGAGGAGGGGAGGAGAGGGGAGGAGAGGAGCATCAATGACCTTCACTATGTTTAGAGCTGAAACACACACACACACACACGCACACACACACACACACAATACAGAACTTAATTTCCTCTGTCTGCGACCTGTGCAACTGCAGCATATCGGACAACATGCAACACAGTTGCCCTGGAAACCTGTCTGTGAGTGAAAGATTTCCTGGAATAAACCTCCTCCTTCTCGTGCACACACATACATATACACACACACAAACACACACACACACACACACACACACACACACACACACACAAGCCTGCAGTGAAACAAGAGGAGAAAAAACAGAAGCACACACAAAGAAAAGAAACATGACAGCAAATCTTTGTACGTCCGGTAAAATGAACAAACATTAGCTCAGAGCTTTAAATGCTTGTTATGCATAAACACACACACATTGCCTTTTAATGTTGAAATTCTCCTCAGAGTAAATAATGTGTGCTTCCTGCTGTTAGTGCTGCAAACCAAGGTTGTGTGTCTGCCTGCACGAGAGGCGCTCTGACGTGATCTGCTCCTTTATTTAATGAAGGTGAATCATGAGACGACTCATCAACCGAGCAGAAAATGTCTCATCCAACACGTTAAGAAGAGGAGGAAAGAACCTGCGATGCTGAACGAGGGACGGAGGAGCTGAAAACAGCTTTGTGTGCGACACCACAACATTAAACCATGCGACGACGACAACAACACTCAGAACACAACGATGTTCGATCCAAAACACTGTAAATCATGCAGATACGCTGCAAACACCACATGGTCTGACTGAGAGGAAAATTAAATCAACAGAGTACAACAGTGTCAGTTAGTCACAGTAACGGAGGTGGTGGGGAAGATAAAACAAATCAATCATCGGAAACTCCGGATCAGACGTAAACATGCCCACAGACACTTACCACCTTTCTTTTTCCTTAGAGTGGCTTAGAGGGGTGACACAAACAGATTTCTGATTCTTCAGAGCATCAAAACAGACTCAATCCTTTTCTCAAGATGAATAAAAATAGTTTTGTGTGTTTGCTTCAGTATTCAGTCCGTGTGTTTCATTGAAATGTGTCGTCCTGCAGCAGCTGTATATTCACGTTCAGCTCAGTTAGGAACAGAAACGTATCGAGGAAACAATGAAATGCAAATATGTGGAATTCTCTTGGGAAAAGAAAAAAACCTGCTGACTAGTTAATTTTTCACTCATTCATTTATTCACCTTCTTAACCTCCACACCTCTGGCTGACACACACACACACACACACACACACACACACACACCTGAATGGTCACATGTTTTCAGTGGCTCATTCAAACAGTTTCCGTGTGAAACGACGTTTCCTCTAAAGAGTGTCAACGAACTGCGTTTTCTCTCGTTTGGTGGGTGTGTCAGAGGTGTCGTCCAATCAGCAGCAACGTGTATTATAAACCCCGCCTTATTAAAAAGCCTTGATATCCCAGATGACAGCTGCACAGAGATCTGCAGCCTACGGTCTGGACAGAGGTCTTTTCAGATTAAAACACTTTTCTAAAATGAGCCTCAGGCCTGTTCCCCGCCTCCCGAGTCTCAGAGACGCTGAACGTCCCGTCGGTCTGAAAAGTTTGGACGCTGCACTTTTAAAGCAACACACAGATAAAAACACAGATAAACTGAATTCACACTTGTCACTTGGTGCAGTCACAGCAGCAGCTCACGGGTGCAGGGATCTTTAAAAGCACGTGTCCGTCATGCATCATGAAAGAGGAGAAGCCACGCCCCCCTTTTCTTTAAAAGCAACACATGACGGGAACAGAGACGTTCAGCCATTGCGAGCCGATGGATGTGATTGGACGAGAGCGGACGGCAGAAGGTTGCGCAGCATGGACTGCTTACCTTTATCCACTAGAGATGGACCAATGAGAACGAGAGACAGGAACACAGAGAGGAGCTGTTAGACACCGAGCTCCTGACCAAGTCAAAACACAAAGCAGACTCTTACCGAGCTCCTCCAGCTCCGACGTCATCGACTTGGAGCGCATCGACAGGGCTGTGGTGGGGGCTCTCTTTGGTGGGGGAGGAGCTGAGGGACACAGAGTCACATGAGACGACATCACATTTTATTTAATTCATTTTATATTAAATTATATTTCACATTCTCCGAATGAGCCAATGTGAGGACAGAGCAGGAGATTTACCACGAGCGAGTGGGCGTGTTGATGATGATTCAGTATAGATATAGAATAGAAATAAAACAAAACAAAGAGTTTGTGGTGACAAGAGCCGACGCCGGTGCTGATGCTGTAAATAAAAACAAGTGACCACCGCAGAGGAATCCTACATTCTGTCGTTCACCTGAACGCTGCACAGATTTCTGAATCTCCAGCTGCTTCGTTCACGTGTGAAAGACAAACTCCAGAGAGACTCCGGAACCAATAGTGCGGACGTCCTCTGGAGTTCATGTCTGGACCTTTAGTCAAAACTGTTCAGAGCTTAATTCACTTCCAACCGTTTTCTGTTGGTCGTTCAAATTAAAATGTCCGAGCTGCTTTAAATGTCTGAACTTATCTCTTATATTTTCAGCGGCGAACACGGAACCTCAGTCAGAGAGTCGATTGATTTCTGTGGGGGGGGGGGGGGTTTTTACCTTTTTTGCGTGCCGTGTCCTCAGGGTCCAGATTCCGGCTCACCGTCACGACCTTGATCAGGAGCCGGTTTCCTCCCTGACGGATCATGTTG